AAAAAAAAAAAAAATCAATTTCAGAGCTGCAAGAGACCTTGGAAATGATTTAACTCCCTTGATTTTCTAGGTGAAACTTTGTTGTGAAAAGCACTGTTTAAAATGACTTGAATAAATAATTTGAATGTTACAAATTTTGTGATATCACAGCTGGAGTTAAAATCCAAGTACTTAGTCTCAGCTATTTGGGAGGCTGAGACTGGAAGATGGCTCCAGCCCAGTAGTTTGAGGTTGCAGTGAGCTACGATAAGGCCACTGCACTCTCACCTTGGAGACAGAGGAAGACACTGTCTCAGATAAATAAATTGCCACCCCCATATGCCAGAGGTGGTGGGTTCAAACCCAGCCCCAGCCAAATAAATAAATAAAAATAACAAAAACAAGTCTAATATTCCTAGGCTCATTGTTTTTCCTTGAAACTAGTTTCAAACTGAAGCCAGTATGCAGTCATCTTTCCAAAGTATTTTTGCTATCATTAATAGTAAGATAAGTTGTGGCTGTCAATTGATCAGATAAAATTTCATACACCTGTTGCAAATAACCTAAAATAAAGGGTCATGTAGTAGAGTCCTATTAACCTAATAGGTTCAGATCAATTTAGACAGAGTCTCACTTTATCGCCCACAGTAGAGTGCGGTGGCATCACACAGATCACAGCAAACTCCAACTCCTGGGCTTAGGCGATTCTCTTGCCTTAGCCTCCCGAGTAGCTGGGACCACAGGCACCTGCCATAACACCCAGCTATTCTTTTGTTGCAGTTTTGCCGGGACCAGGTTTGAACCCGCCACCCTCAGTATATGGGGCCAGCGCCCTACCCACTGCACTGCCTGACATTTGACCGATTGAATAAAAGATACTAGTAGCCCTAGAACAAAAAAAAAAAAAAAGGCTCCTGAGATGTTTTATTTCTTTTTAAAGAACAGCCTGGGCTCTGTGCCTGTAGCTCAGCAGCTAAGGCTGAGGAGGTTTGAATCCAGCCCACATCTGCCAAAAAACAATGAAAACTGCAACCGAAAAATAGCCAGGCATTGTGACAGGTGCTTGTAGTCCAGTTACTTGGTAGGCTGAGGCAATAGAATTGCTTAAGCCCAAGAGTTGGAGGTTGCTGTGAGCTGTGACATCACAGCACTCTACCAAGGGCGACACAGTGAAACCATCTCAGAAAAAAACAGAACAGCCCAGTTATCTCACAAGTTGTCCACTATTATAGAATTTTCTAACGATTCCTGCATGATCAGAGCCAGATAAACATTTTTGACAAGATCCCACACAGGTGGTGCAAATACCTTACTGCATCCCACCACAAACTAGCTAATGCTGGGGCTCATTTTGTGATGCTAGGTTTAATTGCTTAGCTTATAAACTTGTGTTTGGTTATTTGGAAAATGTTTGTCTTGGAGTATGAAAGGGAAAATGCTGGATTTTGAAAT